TGTTTAGTGTATATATATATATATATATATATATATATATATATATATATGTATTATATATATATATGTATTATATGTATTATATATATATATTATGTGTATATATATATATATGTACATATCTATGTATATTTGTGCTAATTTAAATTGCTTTAAGTTTCGATACTACGTTCGAAATAAATTTGTCAATATTTTATTTATTATACTGTGTCCAATTGTTAAACGAATACTTTCGTGATTATTTCAATAGTTTTTTTTTTCAAAAAAAAAAAAAAAAAAAAAAAAAAGAATGATCATTCACGGGACATATATTTTTTTTTTCCTTTTTTTTCTCTTCGTCCGAATAAAAAAGAATAATTGAAAGTTCGATAATTGAAGTTAAAGATGTTTTTCTAAGGATTAGCGTGGAAAAGTTCATATCTCAAAACAAGGTCAATCCTCCCGTTTTCATCAAGAATTATTCTAAACGCGAGAAAACTCAACGACTCTTAACGCGAATTTCATAACTCGTTTGCATAATCGCCTTCGCGATAATAATTGCTTATAATTGGAGCGTGCATAAAAAAAAGTAAAAAGAAAGATAAAAAAGAAAAAAGAAAACAGAAAAAAGAAAAAAAAAGAAAAGAAAAGAAAAGAAATAAGTTTCCCAACGGTACTGGAAAAAAGAAAATAAGAAGTAGAAAAAAGAAAAACAAAATTACAAGACTAAGATAGATAAGATCTATGAGAAAAAGTTGGACGTTCATAATTAGAATACTATGTCTCGTTTTTAAGAAGAAAAATTACAAATATATATATATATATATATATATATATATATATATATATATATATATATATATATATATATACATATATAGATTCATTAGTCATTAGATAAGTTTTTTTAATGATGATTAAAATATAAATAATTATTTAATACATATATATATATATATTTTTTTTTGATCTCTTGTTTTATTGTTGATCTATACGATTTAATAAAAAATCTTATTATTTTATGTAATTTCATTAATGCATCTATCTTCGTAATCAATCACTTTTAATAGAACGAACAAGAGACAGATAGACATACAGACAGACAGACAGAGAGGGGGAGAGAGAAGAAAGAGAGAGAGAGAGAGAGAGAGAGAGAGAGAGAGAGAGAGAGAAAGAGACGAACAATGAATTAGTAAAAATTTTCTCTCACGGTTAGATCAGAGAATTCTGAATAATTTATATTTATGTGAAAACGTGAAACGTTAAGACGTACATTATGCATACGCTTGCAAACCTTTTTTCGTATTTTTTACTTTTTAATTTTTAAATGGCGACCGCACACATATCGTCGTTAAAGGAATTTCAAATGTTCCATCAGATAAATTTATATGAAAAATTAATAAAAGAAACAAAAACAAAAAAAGAAAAAAGGAAAGAATAAAAAGGAGAAAAATAAAAATTAAAAAGAAAACGAAGAAAAGGAGAAGGAGAAAGAAAAAATCTTTTTTCGTTCTCTCTCTCTCTCTCTCTCTCTCTCTCCCTCTTTCTCTCTCTCTCATTAAATTAATTAATCTTCTATTTACTTAGAATACGTAAGTACTTACGTATGTGTATGTTTACGTAAATTACGATTCTTAATTACGATTAATTATTTATTAATTCTTAATTACAATTGAAAATCAATCAATATACTGTAATAAATACTGTCCTATTAATCATTATAAATGAGTAGTATTTTACAAATTTTTAATTAATATCAGATTAATGGAATGATAAGGAATATCTTTAATATAATATTAAAATACATACCTATATCGTTATAATAATATATACATATATATATATATATGATGATTAAATAATAACATTCAACTCGAATCGATCGAGAAATAATACAGTCGAACGTTGCATTGCATTATGTATGCTGATAAAATCAGACGGTAAAACGTGTCTATTGAGAGATAGAACGAGAGAAAAAGAAAGAGAAAGAGTGTGTGTGTGTGTGTGTGAGAGAGAGAGAGAGAGAGAGAGAGAGAGAGAAAGAAATGGATAAAAATAGAGATAGAGATAGAAGAAAGAATTTCCGAATAAATAGGATGGATCTAGAAACTATCTTCGATCGACAATTTTTTCCATAGAAAAAAAAAAAAAAAAAAAAAAAAAAGAAAAAGAAAGAAAGAAAAAAAAAAGAAAGAAAAAAAGAACATGCTATCTTCTCCTTCCATTTTTCTATTCAATTAAGAAATATCTAATCCAATAAATTTTATTATCACATTGAAAAGTTAACGAGAGAATTGTTATTACCTTGGAAAAAAAAAAAAAAAAAAAAAGAAAAAAGAAAAGAAAAAGAAAAAAAGAAAAAGACAAGATTAAACATACAAATTAATATTTTTATTTATCCGTCGTAAATATCTTTATTAATCAACGATATTCATTTTGCTAATATGATCATAAAACTAATATGATAAATTTTATTCGTTACGAATATCAACGATAAGCTTTATAAATAATTAAATTGTCACTTGATTAAGTGTCAATTATTCCATTATCTATCGATATTATCACATTTATACATATATATTATTCTCATAAATTTACATCAAATACTACGAACAAATGTTTATTTAAAATTTCTACGAAATGTCAATTATCTTTAACAAATGAGTTAATTAATAATCATAAATGATGTAACGTTAAGCGATTAAACGAATTCGAATTGTGACGATTAATTGAAAATAATAATTGTAAAGGTTGAAGGAGGATAGGAGGTGGAAAAATGGGATGAGAGGGGAGAGGTGGTTGGAAATTTTAGTATAGTTTATTTCAATCGATTAACGCAATAAACTTCATTATTTTCAGTATAATTTCTTATTTACATTATTAATGGAGATACTCGAGGAAGAATGAAAAGAAGAAGAAAAAAAAGAAAAAGAGAACAAAAGGAAAAAAAACTAAAAGGAGAATGAAAGAGAGAAAAAGATAGAGATAGAGATAGAGAGAGAGAGAGAGAGAGAGAGAGAGAGAGAGAGAGAGAGAAGAGAGAGAAAGAAAGAAAAGGGAAAGAAAAAAATGAGAATTTACCGTAAGGAGTCAAAGAATGATTGTAATAATCCAAAGGCCACTTGGGAAATCCTTCCTGGTTTATGCGGTATCATAGTTATAAAGATAAAAGATGATATAAGAAACGAGATAAAAGAAACACAGAAAGAGAGAGAGAAAGAGAAAGAGAGAGAAAGAGAGAAATAAAAAAAACGAAGAAAGAAAAAAATTGCTGTGCTCACGACGCTCACGTAGTAGTATCGATGATACCAATAATAAAACGAATTACAATTACATTGCACGCCATGTTTCCCTTGTGGCATTAAGCGTGTGTCTTTGATTTTTATCATCTTCTCTTTTTTTCTTCCCCTCCTTCTTTTTCTTTTTTATTTATTTATTTTTCTTTCTCTCTCTTTTTATTTTTTTTTTTTTTAACAGGCACGTAATATTCGTATATATATATATATATATATATATATATATATATATAAATTTGTGTATGTACGTATTTATTTATTTATTTATTTATTTATTTATTTATTTATTTATTTATTTATTTATATAGAGCAACGTGTAGAAAAAAAGAGATAAAGAGTGAGAAAATGAGGAGGGTAGATTATGGAGGATAGGATGCATGAAATGGGTATTATAATATTACCATACACGGATAAGAGTGAAGTCGACGTTGCTAATTTTCTCGAATATTATCGTGCACCAACGATTAAGATGATAATTTTTATCGGGTTGAAAGTTTTAACGCTTGACCGGTATTTATTAAAGAAAGAAAATATAAAATAAAATAAAATAAAATAAAATAAAATAAAATAAAATAAAATATAGTAAAATTGAAAAATAAAAAAGACATATTTGTCATCTATGTCTTTTATATATATATATATATATATATATATATATATATATATATATAAAATAACAACGTCTCTCTCTCTCTCTCTCTCTCTCTCTCTATCTCTCTCTCTCTCTATCGAAATTCTATTTTTATTTCCATTTTTTTAATAACCACACCGTCGTTCAAAATTTCACGTAAAATTAAATAATGCGTCACTACATTGACGTATTTTATCGAAAATATCAGCTCTCGTTTCAGCATTTCTCAACGTTAAATTGAAGTGTTCGATCTCGAGATAATTAAGCTAGCTTTAATTAAATGTAACGTTCAATACACACACACATATATGCTGAGAGAGAGAAAGAGAGAGTGACAGAAAAAAAAGAGAAAAAAGAAGGTAGAAAAACTTTATAAACAATCAATAAAGGAAATGCGTGGGACGTACATTTTAATAGCTTTCATACTACTCAAACATTCTCAAAATGTCTTATCTAATGTGTTATCTAGGTACGATAACACACTATTAATATATATGTATATATATATATATATATATATTTTTTTTTATTGATTTCATTCGATGAGAAACATCGCGAAAATAATAACATCTTTTTCATTCCTTCGATTATTATTATATATCGTAATAATAACGAGAAGTTTGTTCGCCGAAACAAAAAAAAAAAAAAACAAAAAATACAGAAAGAAGAAAAAAAAAGAAAAAGAGAAAACAGAAAATAAGGGAAAAACAATTCTTCTTCGTTTTCTTTTTCTTCATCCCCTTTCGCCTCCCCTATCCCAACTCCCTCAGAATTCCGCCATATCAAAATTTTCAACGATTAAACCTTTCATACTATAAAATATGGCTTTTTATCATTATCGTGAAAAACTTTTGACAGGATTTTTGATATCGTTAAAAGTTTGTAAACGAACTGCGAAATATGGATGAATCATCGTTATTTTATCCGTCAAGATTTTGAAAGATTTTGAAGTATTCTGAAGTATGTCAGAAGCATCAAAATTGTTTATTATTATATACATACATATATATATATATATATATATATATATATATATAATTAAAAATAAAATGTAGAAAATAAAAAGAAAGAAAGAAAGAAAATGATTGACTTACCGATCGATCTTGTCCATCGTCGTCGGATGCTGCAAGATGGTCTGCTGTGCGGACATTTCGACGACGCATTGTGTACCGAGTTCTAGCTCTGTAAAAACAGAAAGACGTAAAAAGATATAATGAAAAAAGGAAAAATTGAAAGACAAAATTAAAAGTAGAGATCAATCAAACGCCCCTCCCCACTTTTTCTTCTTACGATTGCGTTAATTGAAGAAGGAAAAAAAAAAAGAAAGAAAAAGAAATAGGAAAAAGATTTGTTTTTTCTTTTTATTCTTAGAGAAAGAAAAAGAAAAAAAAAAGAGAGAGAGAGAGAGAGAGAGAGAAAATAAAAAGAAAAATAATTCAAAGATGAAAATGAAAAGAATTCAATAAATATTTATTTTCATATTAAATATTTATATTCAATTCAATAAATATTTATTTTTTTCTTCTTCTTCTTCTTCTTCTTCTTCTTCTTTTTTCTTTTTCTTTTTTCTTTCTCTTTTTTCTTCTTCTTCTTTTCTTTCTTTTTTTTTTTTTTTTTTTTTTTTTTAATTATCACAAATCACAAAAGATTAAACGAGAAAATGAAACGAGATATATATATATATATACATATGAGATAATATGTGAATACGTCAAATAATCTAAGAACGACAAGTTTATATATAAATCTACTGCAGAGAATGATATTCAAGAGAAAATGAACATTTTCAGGAATGTTATCGAACGGACGAGTTATAGAGCATGAAAGGATCGGACTTACGTAAATTTCCATTCAGAAGGAAACTTCCCAATTACTACAGATATGTATATGTATATATAAATATATATATATATATATATATATATTTTATATCATATGGAAATTATTGAGCGTTGTATAGTACATTGTGCAGTTCCTAGAGTATATAAAATATATATATGAAAAGGTATTTCATTTATATATATATATATATATATATATATATATATATATATATATATATATATAATAATTCACATAGTCGTGTTATTATTTGCCAGAGAAATATACATAATATCAAAACTAATTAATTATCGACAGTCATGACAACGTTAGACAAAAGGTACCAAGAAGATTTTAATTAGTTCGTAAATTATATGTTATTATATATCATCGAATATGCATACGATATATTTTTATTATTCTATTTTTTTTTTCTTTTTTCTTTTCTTTTCCTCTTTAATTGATTGACACACAAGATCAATATTTAAAAATATATATATATACATATATATTAATACGTTATCGATATCATTTAACGCATTAAAATACATGGCCGAACTATATACTAATAATTTTCGAAAATAATATTAACGAAAATCCCTGTGTTATCCTTCAAAAAAAAAAAAAAAAAGAAGAAGAAGAAAGAAGAAAGAAAGAAAAAAATGTTAATAAAATAATTTTGATATTACACATTTGTTCCATTCAATGATAAATTGTGATATATTATAACAGCAATAAATGTATCGTTCGTTGTTCTCTTTCCCCTTCCTTTTTGTTTTCTTTTCTTTTTTTTTTTTTTTCTTTTTCAGATAAAATATTTCATGATAATTATATAAATTTATCCTTTATAAATATTCCACGTATAAATACGAGCAAGCGAGCATATGTGTGTACGCGTGTGTGTATCTCCGTCGAAAAAAATTTATGAAGAATTTTATTAAAGAAACAATAACGAAAAAAAATTATTTCTTAACATTCTTTGACTTTTTTCAATGACATTAAAAGAATAATTCGACAGAGAGAAAAAAAAGAGAATCAAATTGTAAAAAAATTAAAGATATTGAATGATGATCGTTCGTTTGATAATGTTAGATCAGAAATAAATTCGGATTTAATGGAAGGATGATTAGGCGAAAGGAAGGAGGGGATGAGTGACCGTATATATACATACATATATGCATACATATATATATATATATATATATATATATATATATATATATATATAATATTATAATGGTATGTGGAATCAAATTGTAAAAATGAGAGGAATTATCTCTAATGTTAAAGTACGAAGTTCGATCTACGTGTTAACTACAACAATACGTCAGAGAGAAATCCCCTGGTGCTTCTGTGTGCTCACAAACGCGTACCTTAATCGTATTGGTGAACAGCCACTGGAATAGCAAATATCATTGTCGTATGTAGTAGTATGTAGGACTACTGTTTCCAATCGGAGATATTCTATTTGAGGAACAATTAATTTCCATTATGACCATTTGAACACTTAACCACCACCTTACCCTCCTCCCACCCCATTTCCGCCCCCCGCCCGCCCCACCCTCGCCTACCCTCCTCTGATAACTATTAATTAGTTTATAACTTATTATAATTGTATTGTTTTTCTTCTTTCTATTTTTCTTTTTTTTCTTTCTTCTTTTTTTTTTTCTTTTCCCCCACCTTTCCATTTCTTTTTCGTCATTTTCGAAAAAATAAATCATACGATACTTAGTACTGCATATTTATTATTATAATATTTGTACGAACTTTAATACTTTATAATTTGATTTATTTTCTTTCCTTTTTTTTTGTCATTAAAAAAATATTTTTATACATACGTGACATTTATAATATTTACAATTGCATTATATATGCATGTATGTAAATATTTATCGTATATATGTTACGACTCTTTATAATCTAATTTATTATTTTTTTTTGTTTTCTTTCCTTTCTTCCTTTCTTATCTTTAGAAAATAAATGATATAAAGTGAAATTTGTATTGTATATATCATAATTATCATAATTATCATAACTATCGTATCAATTTGAACGTGTTAATGCTTTATAATCTGATTTTTTTTAATATAAACTGTACGTAATAAAACTTTACCCTAATATATTATTAAAATCCAATGGAACTTTAAACCGGTTTTTAATCTAATTTAAAACTATAATAACCTTTTACTAATCTAATTGGTTTTTTTTTTTTTTATTTCTCAAAATATCAATTATATAACTTAAAACTTGTAATAAGTAATATGTATATATATATATATATATATTTTTTTTTTTTCTTACAAAAATTGATTTTGCAAACATGAATTAACAACAATATAATAATCCCCAATAAAAGAATTACGTAATTTAAAAAGAAAAAAAAATTATAATATAGATGAAAGAAAAGAAAAAAAAGAAAACTGTTAGAAAAAATTAATTTCCCGATACGAAACAATAATAATTAATTTTGAAAAGGAACAAATTAAATATAAAAAAAAAAAAATAAATAAAATATAAAATTTTCTATTATAAACAATATTTAAATGTCAAAGTTACTAAACGATATGTGATATTAACATTTAAAAAAAAAAAAAAAAAAAAAAAAGAAAAGAAAAAAAGAAAAAGAAAAATATTCAGTAATTATGCTCAGTAGAAAAAATCTATTCGATAATATTATATGATAAATTTATGAAATAATAAAGTTTTTATTTGTCGATTTAAAATTTTACATTTTCTAGACGATCAATCGTTCTTTTTCCTCTCTCATAAAATGACGATGTAGAAAGGTAGATAAGAAAAAAGAGGAAGCCATACATATGTACAACGTACCCCTGAGTCTCCAAGTGACGTGTGTTACATACTTACGACAATCTTCAGTCATAACGTTTATACATACATACATACATACATACATATATATATATATATATATATATATATATACAAACATACCCAAACTTATATATATATATAAAGCTTTGTATTGTCTAACATAATCGTATTCGCGAAGTACATAAAATAAAACAGAATGATGTATAGACTATAATATAATACTATTACTCAAACGTACACCTCTATATATACATATATAAGTAAGTAAGTGTATGTATGTGTCAATGTAGGTGTGTACATATATATATATATACATATATACATTAACCAATTGAATCAATATATTTAAAGTCGATAAGAATAATGTTACTGTTAACGTTATTATCAAATCTTCGAGCAATTTCCTCCCTTTAATTTTCCTATCACGTTACGTTTTTAATTATTTTCATTTTTTTTTCTTCTCCTTCTTCTTTTTTCGGGATATTTACCAAAAAAAGAAAAAAAAAAAAAAAAAAAAAAGAAAAAAAAGGAGAGAGAAAATAAATTTCAAGAGAAACGTAAGGGGAGGATCAATTTTCGTCGACACCAAGTTCGTTCTTTGCCAAGACTAAACAAATTTCAATCGATCGTTTACATTTCTCGTACCGTATTCGGTAACGTAGAAATTCGGCCGAGTAACGTAAACATCCGTAAGTATATACGAAATGTTTAAGTATATAGATTAAATTGATTGGGCGAATTTTCGAAAGATATATATATATATATATATATATACATATACATATAAAGTTTCTCTTTGAAAGGAAGAAATAATAATGTCTTGATAATGAATTAAATTGAACGTAATTAATTAAGTCAACGAATGTCGTATCTCTTGAGTTGATGAGACAACTAAGAAATATATCGTGGTATTGGAAATATCGTGGAAAATTAATGGGCACGTTCTAACTAGGTGAAAATTACGTGGGCAAACAAAGCTGACATTTATATCGCAATATGCGCATTGGTCACAAACTGGGGTCATATTTTTTTCTTCCCCTCCTCTCTACATGGGATGCTTCGATAAAAAAGAGTAAGATGCGTAATGGTACATAATAAATTGATATAAACAGAAGAAGAAAAAAAAAGAAAAATACAAACATCGTCCACTTAATGTGAAAATTGTTCTACCACGTATACGCGATTATTTATTTAATTGGAAATAAAAATTTTTTAAGTAGAAAGAAAAAAAAAAAGAAAAAGAACGGAAAGAGCATCGTATTGTACGTACTTCGTCAAAATTAAATATAATTAATTCGGCCGAATATGAAATCTCGTGTAAAAAAAAAAAAGGAAAGCAAACAAACAAACAAAATAAAAAGCGTAGACGTATAAAAATCATTTACATAAAAATAAAATTGGGGGAAAAAAAAATTTTTTTTTCTTTTTTTTTTTTTTACCAGAATCGTACGAATATTTTTTTCTCTTTTGTTTTTTCTTTTTTTTTTTTTTTTTTTTTTTTTTTTTTTTTTTTTTTTTTTTTTTTTTTT